AGGTGCTATTTCTTGGAAGAGCACAAAGCAAACCTTAATTACGAACTCTACAATGTATGCTGAGTTTGTAGCTTGTTATGGTGCTTCAACTCAGGCTGTTTGGCTCAGAAATTTGATCTCAGAATTGCGGGTTGTGGACTCTATTGCAAAACCGATGGTCATCTATTGTGACAACACCGCAACCATGTTTTATTCTAAGAATGACAAATTCAGCAATGCGTCTAAACACATGGAGATCAAATATTATACTATTAAGGACTTGGTAAAAAAGGGAGCTGTTGTGATCGAGAATATTAGAACTGAGTCCATGTTGGCTGATCCTCTAACAAAAGCTTTACAACCCATTCTCTTTAAAAAACATGTAAACAATATGGGTGTTTTAGATTCTTTTGATTCCTTTTGTTAGTGGGAGTTTTGCATAGTTTGTTTATCTGGATATTGTGATTATATGCAAACTGATAATGCTTTTTATGATCTTTATTAAAGCATTTACTTTTGATTTTCATCATTTTTTTTGCTATGTCGACTGAGAGATGGAAATATAAAATAGTATCTTTAAACATATTTTAGTTTAAAGATGACTGGATGTCACTAATTTTGAGATCTCATGTTGAATTGTGACATAGTTGTGCAATTTCATGTTGTTTAGAAATTGTACTAAGGCAATTTCATATTGTTTAGAAATTGTGGTGATGCAGTTTCATGTCGTTGAGAAATTGCGTTGAGGACCGATAAGGAATAGTGCTTGTTTGATCACATGTTGGCACTATTTCTTACTACACCACTAGGCCTATGATCCATGAAATTATAATGCTTATTATATGTGATTATGGAAGGTCATGTGTTGCGGTGTTTTCTTAACACTTTGACCGCCATAGTCCTATATTGAGGTTATAAAGGATTGGGTTGGTTTTGAGATGCCATTATTGGAATATTATTATTATTTTTTAAATCGTGGCCACATAAAACAAATTTTCAGTTATTAACCCGAGAGTGTCATTTTCGAAATAAAATCATTCTAAAAAAAAGGGTTAATTAATGTAGCCCAAGTGGGAGAATGTTGGAAACTTCCTATAATATGGGCTTACATTAATTAATTGATTTTCTATTTTAAATACTCGGGTTAATGGATATTCCAATATATGTGTTGTACCCTTTAGTGATCTTATTGAATTGGGTTTCGGCATCTATAAATAACAGGCCTAGTTGAGCAGTAAAGTATAGGCAATTGTGTTTAACTGAAGCCCGTGATGGGAGAGGCCCAGTTAACGCACTAATGATTAGGGTTTGCTAGGTCCCCTCTCTAGCCTATAAAAGGGTAGGTTATACTTATCGGTCGCTTTATCCCATTGAAAGCTGCTATATCGAAATAGGCCAAAGAGAGAAAGATCGGCATTCCAGTAGATCGTTGATCTATTTCTTTTCTTAGAGAATAACAATGGTTCAAACAGGTACGCTTTAATTCCGCTGTGTGTATTATTATTATTATTTTTCTTATGGTGTTCTACATTCATATATGGATCTGATTGTTCTTTAAGAATTAGTGTATATATATTGAGAAATTCTTTACACCACGAACCTCGTACTTCAAGTGCAGATTTTGTCCATGACTTCTAATGCAAAATGACCGAGTGCGGGTAGACTCAAGCAAAGCCTATGCGGGTGAGTTCGAGTCCAAAAAGGAAAATTGCCCGCCTAAGACTGCCAGAAGGAGCACTTGGGATTAGGTTGGTTTTAAATGTGCTGGGTTCACTTGGAAGCGTCAAATACAAGCATGCAAAGAGAAGAGAAGCGAGTCTGTGGGCGAAGGCCCACGGAGAGACACGAGTAGATTGAATGCGAAGACCCACCGAATCTCACTCATCTCTCAGGACTTGATCTAGAGAATCGAAAATGGGATGGCCTGGTCGGCTCGCTCGCTCATCTTATCAGACACCAGACGTCACAAAACACACAAGTTGGAGTTGGACCCAACAACTTGACGCTCTTGTCCATTGGGCAGGGCTGAGAGAGAGAGAGAGAGAGAGAGAGAGAGAGAGAGAGAGAGAGAGAGAGTGTCCTGAACAGGTGGGAATTCAACTCACCTTTGATTTGATGTGGCCATACATGTTTGATGTCTTCTGCAGGATGTGATGGACAGCAGTTTCAGTGCACCAACATTGGCTCCTGTGCATTTATAGCTATATAACTAGTGACCCACCCACCATCTGTAATTTTGCCAAATTTTTGCAGCTGCTCAGGTTCATGTTCCCCTACATTCTCGTCTCATGTCTCTGAGGCCTCGACTCTTTTAAGCATAGCCAGCTGATTTCACTTTACGCATTGGTCGCTTCGTAAATTGAGGGGGTAGCCTAATTTGCCATGGAAATCCAAGAGGCTTTCTTTTCCGATGCGAAGAAAGTTGCAACTATCTTTGCAAATTCACGTACTTAGAGCATATGTTTATGGTTATCGATGCTTAATTCATGGAACTTCGACATTCTTTCTATCACGAGTCCAGTGCGCTCAGTCGCGACACCTAAATGAGAGGGCTTCGTCCGCTAAGGTCGTGTTCTCTAAGCCGTGGTCTACTTTTGGTAGCTCGGCTTAGAACTGACGACAATAGACAAGACGACGATCACCTCACCGTACTACTTTAGCATGTATATTCATGCTCCCATCATGTTGCTCACGAATCAAGTTCCTAACTTTTTTTTTTCTCGGGAGTTATTCTAATCTATACCGTTGACTCGTGCCGAATTTAATACATGTAGCGTCCAAGGGACCGAGCACAATAACTCAAATGAAACTTAGTATTCGCAAAGTACAGTTTAATCACGTGACTCTTCCTAATCTATTTATGTGGTTTAGAACAGTCGATGATTTGATTGAGGTACAAGTGACTTCGGCTTGAAGCAAAAGCGAGTGCTCCATATGCAACGACCACATTAATGAGAGCAAAATCATATCGTAATCAAGAAAACCATCTATGGTTATAGGTCAATATAAAGGCATCTCTATAACTAACCTAATCATTAGCTTCTTCAAGCCATCATATTCCTCTAACAGATGACCCAACAACCACCGCAGCGCAGCTGATTCTTGTTCATATCATCGTTGACCGCCGGTTTAATTTAATTGACAGACGTTTCCCTACGTTTAGTTTCTTATACTTTATTCGATCTGAATCACGCGCGAGAAACTGTGGTTATAGTAATAAAATGCGACACTTTCGTTTTTTACTACCTTGACAATGATTGAAAACGACATGAGGTATTTACTGCATGTTGTGCCCAAGCGCAAGCTGTGTAACCTTATTTTCTGGACAAGTCATGTCTCTATTAGGAAAAAGTACTAAAGTATTTTTAAACCTATTGCATTCGCAAGACCGCCCTTGCCCTTGCCCTTGCCCTTGCGAGGCCAACCCTAGCACAAGTGATGCCTGGTGAGGCCGCCTTGGCCTGGACAAGGGCGAGGCCCTTGCTAGATCTAGCGAGTGCGGCGACCCTCGCTCAGGTCATGGAAGAAAAAGAAAGAAAGAAATTAAAAAAATTAATTAAAAAATTATAGAAAAATGTCTACGTCAACGTCAGTCATGCCACGTAGGACGTGCGGCATCCACATAAGCAGCTTCCCGCCTAAATTAGCTGGATGGACTCAATTGATACCGATGTAAAAAGATTAAGGACTAAATTGATCGAATTGAAAGGTTTAAAATTAAATTGATACAAATGCAATAGGTTTATGACTCTTTTGGTATTTTTCCCGTCTCTATTACCATTTGATTCGAGAATTCATGTTTTAAGGATTAAATTAATTATCATAATCACAAGTGAAAAGAATATCGTTTATATATATAAAAAAAAGAGAATACATAAATATGTGCATCCTTATTTGTCCTCCCTTTAATTTTTATTTTTTTTTACATTTTGTGTTTTTCCTTTGTTGAGCTGCCGCTGACTACCATAAACAATTGAACCCGACACTTACAGGTACACATACAAGACTTAGGTGATTTTCATATTCCATTTGTTGACTTGTCGAGCCAAGTACTGAACCATGCTGATATGTTGTCCAGTTACGAATATTATGACAATCTAGGTGAAGGGTACGTCATATTTAGGAACAAAGAAGGACGTACTCTCGTATTCCTTTTTTTTTTTGGTCGGAACGTACTCTCGTATTCAAGGGAGCCAAAAAAAAAATGGAAAAAAAATAAAAAACTCGAATATGAACATGAACATGAACAGATTGATCCAATGCACTATCTTATTTGGGAGAGATCCAATGCACTATCTTATTTGGGAGAATTATTTCGTTGTTTGAATTTCTGTTGGTTTAGTGACGACTGACGAAATAGAAATCTTTTTGATATTATACCAAAAGGTTAATATCACGGAAAAACCCAAATTGGTACATTTACGACAAATTTATCCCAAACTAATTTTTTGACAACAAAAAACTCCAAACTGGTACACATGTGACAGATTTACTCTCCGATAGGTTCCGTTAAATTTTACTGTCAAATTGCTGAGTTGGATTATACGTGACAGTTGACGAGTGTACCAGTTTGTTTACCTTACGTTTGTCACAGGTGTGTTGGTTTGTGATTTTTCGTTATATTAATCTAATTTAACGGAAACTAACGGAAAATAAATTTGTCACAAATGTACCAGTTTGAGGTTTTTTATGGTCAAAAAATTAGTTTTGGGTAAATTTGACACAGAAGTGCCAATTTAAAGTTTTTTTAGGTCAAAAAATTAATTTTGGGTAAATTTGTTACATGTGTATCAGTTAAGGGTTTTTTGTGTTATTAATCCTATACCAAAATTGCGAAAAAGGATGAAAACCCTAAAAGCATTAAACATCGGAGCTCGGGCTTAATTATTCCTAGATACACATATGTGTTCTAAAGTAAATTTCTCCTACATTTTTCGATTGAATGCAAAAGGGTGTTCTTTAAGAAGACTATTACCCAATTGGCAGACGCATGCGCATTGATTATTTGGTTAGACAAGAAAGAACTAATGTGCAGGTCCATCATTTACTCTTCAATCAAGCTATGAACATTTGATTCGAATGAAACTATAGGATAAACAGACACTCATCCCACCCTTAAATTGTTTTTTTAATTAAAATCTAGCTCGCTAAACTCTTTACACTTCGTCCTAATCATCGTCCCCGTCAACATCATCATCATCAAACTCCTCGCAAATGAGATCAAAAGAATGGTGAAGTGACCGACAAGCCCTCGATGTCAACCGGTAGTGTAGAACTCGACCAGCTCATCCATGGACCCCAGCTGCGCGTCCCCGTCACCGCTGTTCTCCAGCATCCACAGCAAGTGCTCGAACAGCACCACCTCGCACGACACCACCGCCGCGCTCGTCGGCGGCGGCGGGGGGGACGACGGCGACGACGACGACGACTTGTCGACCAGCTCCCGGAACAGCGGGTGCTCGAACACGCGGGCGCTCACGTCGTACCGGCGCCGGGACTTCCCCACGTACACCGCCCTCACGTTGTTGCCACGGCCCGCTCCGGCGGCGGCGCTCCTGGGATCGTCTTCGGCCGCGGCGACGGCGGCGGCGGCGGAGTTGTTGCGGGACAGCTTGGAGAAGGAGGGGAATCTTCTGATGGCTGACTTGAGCTTCGTGAGCTTCCCCATTTTCGTCATTTCCAGGGAGATAGAGAGAGAAAGAGGGGTTTCAGGGGGGGTTTTGGAGAGAGAAGTTGGTGGCGGAGGTGGGAAGAGAAAGGAGGAGGAAGGTTCGTATATAAGGGAGGAGAGGAAGAGGGACAAGGAGACGTGCATGGCCCACGGGTTTATAGAAACAGCTACATCGAAATTTTTAGATATTTTCGTTCGTCCCCAGGAAAAAAATAAATGGAAAAAATGGGGCCAAACGAAGAAAGGAAATTCAAAAAAGGGAAAGAAAAAAGAAACAAGTTGCGCCTTGTTTGGCAGTTGGTGTGGAAATGGTCCGATGGCCCCCCACTTCCCAACCCACAATTTTTCTTTTCTTTTCTTTTCCATCCGGTTTTCCCTTTTTGGGTTGTTTTCATTTATTGAATTCTTAGAGTTAGATATTGATAAGATATGTGCATGTCTCATCTTACTTGTAATGGACATTCAATACATACATGTATACACATGTAATTTTTCCTTTTGGGTACTTTTTTTAATGTCACGAGCACGATGATAAACATATGTAACATCTCTCTTCTTTATATTCTACATGTAATACCTCCGTTGATGGTTGCAGGATTAATTTATTGATTCGGTGGACATATAGGTGAGGACCCCTATGAGAATCTCATGTCGCTACAATATAATAACCGAGCAAAAAATATAAATAAAGTAAGAGAGGCAGCTGAGTGCCACCCATGATGGCGAGTTTGAAGTGTCAAAAGCCCCACTAAAACCTAATCGCGAATTCCCTTTTTGGTTGTAACCAAAATGTTGATTAGCATCTTCTTGAGACACGCACGAACTTGTGCGAGTCTTCATTAGTTTTAAAAGAAGAGCTGTCGGGACTGGATAGAACACAGCTAGGTTGCTTCTTGTCTCATTATTGCACGAGACGGTGAGGAGGAAGTCTTCGTGCTAGTGAGAACCCGAAAGGACAAGGAAAGGAAGGAAAAAAACTGTGGGTTGCTGATAGGAAGTCGCACCAGTTCCAAGAATCTGAGAGAGAGGACACAGCTGGTTTCTTTTCTGAGGGGTGAGTTAAAGCTGGTGGTGTCCTTTTGCGTTTGCGAATAGTTGTCGCTCCTCTGTCTTTACGTGCATGCTGACTTTTCGTAGAGATCAGCTTTGCGTTCGGGCTGGAGAGACGGGACAAATGTGTTCCACGCACATACGTCTCCAAGGAATATTTTGTACCATCTTTGGATTCCACCTCATTAATTACATGAGGTTTCATACGGAAGCCGAGTTTACCGTCAGAGTTGTAAAGTAAGATAGAAGCGCGGTGGCGATCGGCCTGCTCTTTTGTAATGGTTTTTGAGCACTCGATTCATCCCCGATAGATGGGATCGAGCACGTTGCTGGGCACTCTGCCCAGCACGACAACTTTCAACTGTTGGTAAATGTAAATAGAAATGTGTATCAATAGTTGAGATCGATTGAAACACTTATAGAAGTACTATATAAGTTAAAGAATTTATGTCCGCGCAAGACTAAGCTGACAATGAACACTATGGAGAAGAGGGGTTGTCACCCCACCTTCTATAGCCTCATCATGTCACCAAGAAAGAATACCGTATGGTCAATAATTCACGCAGATCGAATACAATTTACAATGTTTTAACCTCTTGGCCGTGTAAAGTAGAGATGAAAAACAAACACACACAGCTAAGGCCAGGGTTGCTTCCAGTACTAAATTCTTCTGGAAGTGCACGTGTGACGGCCGACCTCACTATTCCATCTGTAAAGTGCTTCACGGCTCCTACCGAACGAGCACTTGGCTATGGAGGAATTTCTTCTGGTCTGAGCTAACAAAAAGCAGCAGAAAAAGCAGCGGATGAGCATGAAACGCCAAAGGCGCTTTATTAATCGAAACCAACACGCTTTGTTGGCTGGTCCAAGGTCCCCCTATTTGATGCAGGAGAGACGAAAGGAGCTTGTTTGTGGAAACGCTGTTTAACGTTTTTGGCCATATCTAAAGAAGGTGGTGGTCCTTCCATTATACGATGTGTTTGTGTGTGTCTCGTATTGATGTGCCGATCACATTTTCGGGAACCCTTTTTTTTTTTTTTGGTTGCATCATTTTCGGGAAGCTGAAAAGCATGCTTTAATTCGTTCTTTATGGAGATTATTCATACCTTAGGGTGCGTTTGTTTCGACAAAAGAGCTTCCTGCGAATTAGTTTTCCGAACTTTCGCAGAGTTTTGGTTCCTCGAAAATGGTTAGTTGACGGAAAACATCTAAAAGGCAAAGAGTAAGAGTTTACCCACACTTAAAATTAGGAAAACAAATTCATGTTTTTAAATTAAGGAAGTCGTTTTCCCAAGCATAACAAGCCTCTTAACAAGCGCTCACAGCTTCACCTTTTTTTATACCCATTATTCCAAATGAGATTCAAATGTTCGGAAACGTTTTTAGTAGAAAATTTTCAGCATATCATCAAACAAATGAAAACTAACCATTTTCCATGAAAATAATATACACGGAAAGCGATTTCGTTTATCATGAAATTCTACGCAAAACAAACACACCCTTCAGGTGATTTTTGTTTTCCCTCTCTTATTTCCGGTTCAAAGGACACGAATTTGGAAAAAAAAAATTAAGCTTATAATAAGAATAAAAAAGTCATGGAAGCTACTGTTCTTACGCACGCTCACACATGTTTTGTGTCTCTGGATTGGGTGAGTCGAATATCTCGAGGCTTGAATTGCAAAGGACAATTTCATGGACTCTGGAGATCGCCCATGTGCTTAGATTTGAATCATGTGATATGGTAATGATGAATATTGCTCTCCTAGATTTAAGCTTTAGCTTTACATTTGTATGTGCTTGTGCTTGTGATAACGGCAGAGTGAATACGAACGGCAGAGGGAGAACACATAAGCAAATGGATACGGTACCTCTCTTTTTTTGCTTTTTTTTTTTTTGCCTGGAAGGGAAATAGCAACAGTGTCCCTAAACTTACAAAGTTTTGCACTTTAGCTCCTAGAGTTTAAAAGAGCTCCACTTTTGCTCAACGGTCCCTGAAGTATTCGATCGATTTAAATTAGTCCTCGAAGCCCCCATTTTAGACAAATATGGGCCACGTTAGCAAGATTCCTCGACTAAAAACAGTGTGCTAAGGAAGTTGCCCTAAATTTTCTTTACCTACACACCTTGTATGTATCACAAGCAAGAAACATGCCCAATATTCGCCTAAAATGAGGCTGGAGGACCACAATACGTAAGAATAAATTATAACTCTAGGGCTTAAGTACAAGACGAGGAAAATTTTATTTGCCATTTCCTTCCTTTTTTTGGGGGTACGAAGAAAAAATATGGCAATAACTTAAGCTCCCAAAAGAAGAGGCAAACAATCGTTACGACTTCAGTTAATCACCCAGGCAAATTCCGTACAGGATGCAGCTACCCTGTCGTCATCAGCATCGCGCTATACGATCAGATGGTAGAATGTATACAGACTCTGTCCTTGCACTTATCTTCCCCTTCCTCTCCAACCTGAATCAAATGATGCATATCATTAATTTATTTGCTAGGAACGAAGAATTACTTACAAGCAATTGGCTTACCTCCTTCGCTATCTGCTGAAGGATCTCCAAGATTTCAGAGAAGTTCCTCTTCCTGAAAATTCCCAAAAATAAGCGACAATAACATGTACATGTTGAAACAAAGCGATAGAAGTTTGGCTGTGATCTTTCCAAAGCAAGAAACGTTAAACAGGTTTCTTCAATTGTGATAAGGCTTAAAACATATTAAAAAAGACAGGAAATATGCTGACCCGGAAGTAGGATGTTATCTCTTGATTTAACATACACCGGATGGCAAAAATGTGCAATAAAACACTAAAAAGACATTTTCAGTCGTGATATGGATTAAAACCTACAAAATAAAGACAGGAAATTTGCTGACCCAGAAATATGATGTTAGTTCTTGATTTAATATACACCGGACGGCGAAACTTGCATGAACCAATAAAAATCCTACTCAGAAAGACCGACGGATATCGGCATCCAGAAACAAATGCGTATCATTCTACAGAACAAGTTATCCGGCCTATGCAGGGAGGAAAAAGGAATGAATCCCCGGCCTAATTGACAAAGGTAACAGATGATTACTGAAAAAATAGTAATGAAAGTGCAAAGAAAATAAAGCAACTGACGGTAAAGAGCATAATTGGTCAGTTCTTCGATAATTAAGCAGACAGGCTACAGACCGCTCCTCTGTGTGAACCTAGACCACAATGTACATCAAATGCAACTCCATCGTAGACATCTTCTATGAGACAACAGTACAACAGTAGAAGAATAGAGACTGACTAAAATTTCAATAGATACCAAAAGAATGATGACTTCGATGCCAATGGATGCTAATTATGTGTTGATAAGATGTAATGTGCAGTCTGTCGCAGTCATGAAAGAACACTTTCAAAAGAACTTTCGAGTAACTTCTTGAAACATTTTGAGAGATCCAGCATATATGAAACTAAAACTTGAAGTTCAATTGCTAAATATAATTGCCACTAATGATAAATATATACCTCAGAGTGCCAACCATCAACTACAAAGACATCGAGAGAGAACCCATCAACAGTAGAAAGGCGTGAGCTTCTTGGATGTTAAGTCCAATCTCAGCAAGCAAGGCAGTGAGCTGGATCCAGTTAAAACAATACATACATACATACATACATAAAATATATGTTCTAAGTACGTGAATTCACAAAGATGGTTTCGACTTTCATCGAATCGGAAAAGAAAGTCCTTTGAATTTCCACGACAAATTAGGCTACCCCTCCATTTACGCGGCGACCAATGCCTAAAGTGAAATCAGCTAGCTATGCTTAAAAGAGTTGAGGCCCTCAGACATGAGACGAGAATGTAGGGGAACATGAACCGGAAAGCAGCTGCAGATTTTGGCAAAAATTACAGATGGTGGGTGGTTCACTAATTATATAGCTATAAATGCACAGGAGCCAGTGTTGGTGCACTGAAGCAGTCGTCCATCACATCCTGCAGAAGACATACTACATGTATGGCCACATCAAATCAAAGGTGAGTTGAATTCGCACCTGTTCAGGACTCAAAGCTCAAGTGGTTTATCAGACACTCTCTCTGCCCTGCCCAATAGACAAGAACGTCAAATTGTTGGGTCCAACTTGTGTGTTTTGTGACGTCTGGTGTCTGATAAGATGAGCAAGCGAACCGACCAGGCCATCCCATCTTCGATTCTCTCGATCAAATCCTGAGAGATAAGTGTTATTCGGTGGGTCTTCACATTCAATCTACTCGTGTCTCTCCGTGGGCCTTCGCCCACAGACTCGCTTCTCTTCTCTATGCATGCTTGTATTTGACGCTTCCAAGTGAACCCAGCACATTTAAAACCAACCTAATCCCAAGTGCTCCTTCGGGCAGTCTTAGGCGAGCAATTTCGTTTTTGGACTCGAACTCGCGCGCAAAGGCTTTGCTCGGGTCTACCCGCGCTCGGTCATTTTGCGTTGGAAGTCACGGACAAAATTTGAACATGGAGTATGAGGCTTGCGGTACTTGCCCGACCCGTCTTGGCCCGCCTATTGATCGGGTTTGCTTCCAACTCCCGCTTATTTGTCTAGTCTAATTGAATAAAAGTGAAATGACGACATTTGTTGGAACAAATGGATTTTGATTGGAAAAACAGTGCAAATTTAAGGGGATCAAAACGACTTTTCTTTGTCATTTTGAGAACATTAGAGAATTCATCTAATTTTGTCAAAATTTAAGGGATCTCCGAAAGTTATCTTGTGCCCTATAAGCCCCAAACAACAAATTGACCCTATGCCATTATGTGATTCGTAAATCGAATCCAACCCACGTAATATTAGTGTTGGTTGTTCATCCGAAAGAAGAAATGCTCGATGGGTATGACTCTTGGTTGATCCTAGAAGTAAATTAAATTAATTACACGACCAGAGAAAAATAGAAAGAAAGAAAGAAAAAAACCCCTTTCGAGATCTTGTCCGGTTTGCTCCTACTCTTTTGGTTGGCTGAGTGAGATAGGACTTACTCACCTGGGATATGAAGCTCTCTTGGTCACCAGTTTAAATTTTCCAGTCACTCCTTGATCTTAGAAAATCTTGATTCGTCGGTGGCGTAGATCTGACTTGTACACCACGTGTAGGGTAAATCCGGCTTCATCCCAACCTGCATCCAGTGGTGGGGTGGTAACAGGCTTGCTTAAATCGAGCGGAGAGTTACAACTTAAATCGAACATCCCGATCGTAGGTGTGGCACTCATATGACAAATAGTGCTTAGATGGGGGTTGTCCACGCCAGTCGCTCTCGTTCCTTCTTTCTGCCAAGCGAAAAAGAGAGAGGTAGGGAACAAATGGAATAGTGAAGGAATCCTTGCTTCATCTTCAATTAAGTTCATCGTTTTCATCGTTGAGGAAAAGCACCGACATCTCTTTCAAACTGAATCAATTCCCGCCATTAATTCTATAGATCCCACGCGAGGTGGACATGAATATTTAAAAAATGAAGGGACTGTGATTGTACATGATATGTGCACAGGAACCATACAGGTATGGTGCCACGCGAGTTTATCATTGGCAAATATAGGGGAAGAAGAAACACGTTGCGAATGGAGACACGTTAAGAATGGCCGGCTTCTCGAGTGTTCATGTGTTCAGGGAGAGGGAGCTCCCTCTCCTTTCAACTTTTTCTCTCATCTTCGCTTCTCTTTCGTTCCACGGAAAACAATGCGAAAGTTTCCGTGCAGGATTCCTCGAAACGCACTCTTCCAAAGTTCAAAACTTCATACCCTTTTATATACTGGGTTGGCTCTGCGGTCCAATTCGCCGACACCAAAGTTCTGCTTTTTACTTTGGATCGTTAACTCATAAATAAAGGGTATCCGTCTGCCAATTGGTTTTTGGGGAATTCAAGAATGGCGAATGGCGACGAAAAGGGCAAAGACTTGTACGCAGTTTTGGGGCTGAAGAAGGAGTGCACAGCTCCGGAGCTCAGGAATGCATATAAGAAACTGGCCCTGGTTAGCACTGCCACGCCTTTTCGGTGACCGAGCATCTTCTGCAATTGTTACTGATTTCATCATGTGTGAGACTGGTTTCTTTTTTTAGCGTTTTCACGTTTTGTGTTATATTGCTGATTGGGAGATGCAAGTCAATCGTGCATATAGTGATTAGTGAATAAGAGAACCTGTAGTTTAAATTTTAAATTCTATAGACTTTGATCGGTGACATGTGACAGTGTCTTTTTAGGCTTTCATGGTTCCTGATTTGTGGTCAATGTGTTTATTTATGCCGTTTTCCAAGAAGGCATGCGCGAAGCATTTCCTTTTAATGTGTGGGACGTGCGTGTTAAGACTGTCTCTGTTTCCGGTTGGTTTAGAGGTGGCACCCGGATTGTTGTTCTGCATCGGGAACTTCAGAGTTCGTCGAAGAGGCCAAGACAAAATTGCAGGAAATTCAACAGGCCTACTCCTGTACGAGCAATTGCATTTTAATTAAAACTTCTTTCTGGTGATGACATACCATGGTAATTCTGGAAGGCAACTTGTTTAGAAGTTTGTCCTGTGACTCGGAAATGGAAAATATTCCAAAAGTTTGGTTCTGACATTTCCCTGTTTTATTCAATCTTGGTTCGATAGAAAATCTCAGTGTGTAGCTTCTCATATTTATACCGAATGCTTTAACGATCACCCGTCTGACTCTACTGTTTCCAGTTCTGTCCGATGTGATCAAGAGGTTTCTTTACGACATTGGAGCCTATGACAATGACAATGACAAAAATGTAAGCTCTTGATACTGTTTTGCAGGGTCTCTCGGTCTGTTTTCTTGCGTAGATTACTTTGTTTATGTCTCGAGGATGGCTGGAGATGTTCTTATTCCTAAGTTTTGTTCTGGTACTCTTAAATTTTATCTTTATGGGCAGACCATAAGCTAGATGAAATTATGTTGAGGCGCTTTTGAGTTGTAGGTCTTACATTTTGCATACGCACATCTGGAAACTAGCCCTCAGGCCTTGAAGTTGCGTCTCGATTTAGCTTAGATATGCCTCATTTCATGCTTGAGCTGATTTGCGTGTTGATGCTCTGCACCTTATCATTGCTTGAGATGTTTGATGCATGTGATGCAAAAGGTGTCTATCGAGCAATTATCTACTTCATCAGATTTCCTGCAATGTAGAGTATGGACTGCTGAAGTAGCTTAATTGATCATAAATTAAAGTGAAGCTCACAAACTTATCCAGTTCACCGCTGCAAATATTCATATGTTCCTGGAGAGAAACTATACGAAATTGGCTTTAATGAACTAGAGGTTGTTAGAAGAATTCTTCCAAAATGCTGAACCCAAATGCTCCTGCTCAACAGATGTTTGGTTATTTCTGTATTCTCTTCTTTTAAAAAATATGCAGGAGAGATGAACGCTTAGTTATCTGGATTGAGCACTTAATGCCATCTGCAACCTAAGCACAAGAAGTGGCAAATTAATAATGCAGAAAACTCAAAACCACAGGTTTTCGGAGAGGCATTACACATGCAAGAAAACTTGTCAAACGATTATACGACACAAAAAAATCATCAGTAGTTTCCCAGCACACAAGGCCAATATCCAAACAAGAAAAATATACTTTTCTGAGGCTTCTAGCATGAGGAGGAATTGATTTCTTGCAAATCAGAAAAATGAGAAGGCGTTAGAAGCCTTCGCCGAGTTTAACAGTTGAGAAGCTGCACTGCTAATTTGAGGAACTACAAGCATGGAAGAATCAGGCCACGCCCTTGTAGCCTAATGATATCACCGACTCTACCTGTCTAAGAAAAACAGAATCGACCAGAATTAGCGTCATAAAAGGTGAAGGACGAGGAGGAGGAGCTGGAAGCATACTCCATGGACCTTTACACTCATTGTTTACACAAAGCCATCAGACTTAGAATCCAAAAATACAGAAATATAATAAGCTAACAAAGAGTCCAGATGTAAGAACCTGACAGGTGACAACCACCTCGAAGGGCTTCCATCACTAAGTACTTCAACTGCTCTCTGCTGATTGTGACATCTTTCAGATACTCTCTAGCCAAAATGATCTAAATGTGACCCGAATACCAGTAGTTAATTAAAAAGCACCTCATCTCAAAACATTGCTACTCAAATAAACAAAAATATCAGTACTAAAGAGTACAATGACGAATATAGCTTCTCAATTGAGGAAAATAAGCACTACTAGATCTAACAGGAGCTCATAAATTGGAGAAAGAAATTTCATAAATCCATTATATCTCCTTCGCAAATGATAAGTAAGTGAAAGTATGTCCAAGACCAATGTAGATTCAATAAATTAAACCATATCGAAAGTGTTTCCAAGATCGACACACAAAGCAAAAAATGGACTATCAAGCAATCTTTTGTCGATGTCTCTAAGAACAAAATTCCATTTCTAGAGTTACATCTCAAAATATGAGATGCAAACATAACTTCCGAACTTTGCCACCAATTACAAGGTCAATTATCCGTAGGTCTTAGCATCTTCTATCCTAAAATCAAGTCGAAAGACTTGATGCATGACTTGTTCCACTGATTAATAACTCACATACATAAGAATAAAATGAAATATACCCAACTTTACACATAAGTGCAGAAGGGGGGTGGTGGTGGTAAAGAGATAAGTAAATATTTTTATCGACTAGGCAGAACTGGATGCAATGCTAGTTTATTGGATATTTACCTGAGTCTTTGCATAGTCCGTTTCCTCCTCCATCTTGAAAACCTCATTAGCACGCTCTTGGAACTTGGTTACAATATCAACTGCCGCAACACGATCTTGAAAGCTCATAGGAAGATCTGCGCTGCAGCAGAAGTGTGCTATTAGTGGAGAAAGGAGGATAAGTTAGAGAACTAAAGCAGAGGGTTTACGTCAAATTTATGGCGATGCGGTCTAGAAGGTGTTCTCGTACAGCACCCTCCTCTGGGTTATAAGTAGCGATTAGAAGCGGGTTGCATGGATGTTTAAAGCTTATTCCCTCTCTTTCCACTGGATTAACTCCTCCAGTCTAAACATTAAGAAGCAAATCACTAATACCTTCATCCAAAAGATTGATCTCATCGGCATACAGAACCCCTCTGTGGGCCTCAGAGAGGAGGCCAGGCTGGAAAACAGTTGTCCACGTTTTGACAGATTCCTCAACATCAACAGAACCGAGGAGTCACAGATGACGAATGAATATGAAGATAAGACGCGATGAACTCGTCTTTAACAGGGTATAGTCTCGGAAAGCTTCCCGTCAAAGCACGGTGTACTCGACAGTTCAAATTCAAATCACGGGGCCTGCTCGCGACTTCCGGGTCTTCTACGACATATTCTCAATCGAAATCCCATTTCATGCCTTTGATGCCAAAAGGAGGTGGGACAGATGTTGAGACTTTTTCATTGATCTCCTCCTCTTTTACTTTCATTGATCTTGGGTCGAGCCAAGGAAGGACATATTCTGGATGTGCATTTGTATTATTTTCTGAATTGACAGCACAATATGACTATACTATTCAAATCTGGAGGCTAATTCTAGCATTATAACAGGCATTTTTTTTAAAAAACTTGTCGAGCCAAGGAAGAGCCACGGGGCCGGGTTCTTCCTTATCCACCAGACATGAACTATGAAGGCAAAATGCATGTCGACCACTCGAGAAGAACCGCACGACCTCCTCGACATCGCAGCACAACAAAGTTCAAAACCCCAAAATTTCTCGTGTTTTTGAAGGTGAAGTTTTCCATCGTGGATGTGGTTAATGCTTAGGATCCATGCCACCCGAATTTCAAAGTTTCCTACGATGGAAATGAAAATAAGTACCGAAATCTTGAAAAGTTTTGGCTCTTCTAGCGGAACGTGGAACCCTTGACCCTAACGTATTCGATGGATAAACCCCACGCAACCTCAAACTAGCACGGCGTGCTATAATCAAAGCCGTGTGGTCATGGATAAACACACGAGTGAGCCCGAGCGGGTTTGCCTAAGGAACATATTCGTGTATCTAAAATTCGACGTACGACACGACGAGCGTGATCCTACTATTTTGAAAGAATAAGTGTTTTCACAAGGATATCTGTAGACAGTGTTGATTTATCTATAGATGCTCATTTATTAATCTAAAATCTTGTTTCTAATTGTTTAGATAGATAAATTTTTCACTCTTGTTTTTTTTTTTTTTTGGTAAAGGTAAGATGTATTAAACTTTTCAATGCAAACATACAAGAGGAAGCCGAACACAAAAACCTCGAACCAGAAGTGATAGAGAATGTCCCGCCAGGTTCAAAGGTGTTACGGCAAAGGCTAACCAAGCCAAGGGCCCAGAAAAACTAAGCTATACAGAGACCAACAGACAGGCCAAAGAACTACAGAAAGAACAGCTAATTACAAGTGAAAATGGAATCAGAAATGCCCCAATTTACTTGTATCCTTCTATTAAGAGGATTATCTTGGATCGGGTTGAGGGGGAGACCTTTGTCTCTAACAACCTTGGTGAGGTGGACCCTGAGGGACTGCACGAAGAGGGTACCATTCCTAAAAAGGATGTGGTTACGTTATGTCCATATGAGATGGCATAGTGCCCCAAAAACATATCGAGCAATACAATGCTTGAAGGAATTTCCGCAAATAGACCGGGAGGCCCACCGAAGATTGTGTTGCCACGATCCATTCCGCCAAGGGAGGTAGCATTTAGTGGCCTAGAAACGCGCAAGGGAGCCCGTAACAAAGCAACCAAAAAATAAGTGATCAGTAGAGTCAGGCCTACCTTGGCAAAACGCACATACACCTTCGGTAATTCTATGATAGCTCAATAAGAGAACCTGCGTGGGAAGCCTCTTAAGTAATATCAGCCACAACAAAAAACTATGTCTCGGTGCAATGTGGCAGTCCCAAATAAAGGAATTCCAGAATACTAGTTGACCCCTTTTCCGGATCAAATCCCACGCCGAAGCGATAGAGAACACTCCCGAAGGATGTCCTTTCCAAATAAGCTTATCCCGGCTGTCCGAGTGAATAATAGGGAGAGGATCCGACCAAGAATTGAATGATTGCAACACATTAGACTGGTTCCATTCCGCAGAAAGGAATTCCCAAACTGAGGCAGATCTCGGGATTCCGGAACAAAAGATATCCCGATTAGAGAAGAGTTTATAAAGTGGACCTTTAGGGTGCCAAGAGTCGAACCAGAAGGAGGTAGCCTTTCCATTTCCAATTTGCCAAAGGAACTGATCCTGGAATTCCAGCCGAATATCATGAATTTTCTTCCAAGACCAAGAACAAAAGGTTGGCCTTGGGGTGACCCAAAAGTTTTTCGATTTGAGAAATGTAGAATGGATCCATTTGCACCATAGTGATTCTTTGTCCGTAAAGAGCACCCAAATGTGTTTGAGCGTTGCCGCTCGATTGCAGTCGACGAGTCTCCGGAGTCCCAAACCACCTTCTTGTTTGGGGAGGCATACCATGTTCCACGCGACTTTCACCCCTCCAGTCCCCAGATTTGGGCCTTTCCAAAGGAATTATCTGAGAACCAATTCAATCCTTGATAAGACCGCTCGAGGAAGAGTGAATATAGAGGCCCAGAACACATTAATAGCTTGGAGGACTGACTTTATAAGTTGAAGACGACCCACAAACGATAGAAAACGCTGGGACCACGAGCGGGCTCGAGCAGTAATAGAATTTACTAGTGCCGAGCAGTCGGTCTTACTCAAGCGAGATGCAATAATAGGGACACCAAGGTAGCGAAAAGGAAGCATACCTTCTTGGAAGCCGAAAGATTGCATGATCTAGTCTCTTATGTCAGGAGTACCCCCCGAGAAATAAATCTCACTTTTATTGATGTTTGGCTTAAGGCCAGACCACCGTGAGAAACATTGCAGGCCTTCCTTAAGGAGGGTGGTCAAAACCAAGTTTGCCTCAGCAAATAAGAGGACATCATCAGCAAAGAAAAGGTGAGTGATTCTAGTAGTTTTACACCGCCAGAAATATTTGAAACCAGGGAGCCGTGTTTGAACATTGAGGATTCCGGTAAAAACTTCCATAGCCAAGATGAATAGGTATGGAGACAAGGGATCACCTTGGTGAATTCCTCTTCGGCTCGAAAAGAAACCATGAAGAGTACCATTAATGGCTACTGAGAATTTAGGGGTTGTGACACACTCCATAATAAGATTAATAAACATTCTGGGAAAACCAAAAGTTTGCAAGGTTAGCTCGAGGAAACCCCAATCAAGAGTATCATATGCTTTCTTGAAATCAACCTTGACGGCACACTTAGGAAGATAGGGCTGATGATGAAAACCAGCAAACAGTTCTTGGGCGAGAAGGATGTTGTCCCCTATACGTCGCTTCTTGACAAAAGCATTTTGGGAAGGGCTTATAATAGAAGGCAAAACCGAGGCAATTCTATTAGCCAGAATCTTGGTGATGCACTTGTATACCGTATTGCAGCAAACAATGGGCCTGAAATCATTCATAGATAATGCATTAGGTACCTTGGGCACAAGTGTGAGAATGGTAGTGTTAGTCTCCTTGAGTAGAGATCCGGACTGGAAGAAATCCTTGATAGCCTTCGTGAAGTCGGATCCAACAATATCCCAAGAAGAGATAAAGAATTCAACATTGAAACCATCTGGCCCCGGGGCTTTACCTTTAGGAAGGGAGAACAGGGTGTTCTTGATTTCTAGATCAGTCACCTGCCTAGACAAAAATTGTGTTTGATTCTCATTGAGGGAGCAATGAAGCACTTCCTGAATATCTCGTCTTTCCAGCTGAGAGGTTGAAGGAGTTTCCGCAAGTAAGTTCTCGAAATGAGACACAATATGTTGGTGAACCAAAGCTGGTTCAGTAATAACAGAACCATTTTCATCAGAGACGGACATAATGCAGTTACGTAGATGTCTTTTATTGACAAAATGGTGAAAGTATTTGGTGTTGCGGTCCCCTTCTTGCAACCATTTGATTCTAGATTTCTATTTATAGAACAATTCTTCCTGGATTCTGAGTTCCGAGAATGCCTGAAGTTGAATCTTTTCAAGATTTGCCAAAGATAAGCTAGAAGGGTTGTTGGCAAGTGCTTCTTGGGTTTCAGTTAACTCTGCCCTTGCCCTAGCAGTGCGCCCAGATATGTCAGAGAAAGACTCCCTATTAAGAATTTTCAGACGACCTTTAAGAGCCTTCAGCTTGCAACAAAGGATGAACATGGGAGTGCCGGAGATGTGTGAATCCCAGGCCTGAGTGACAGTAGTCCGGAATGAAAGGTGGGACACCCAGCAATTAAAGAATTTAAATGGTTTCTTACCAGAAGATGAAAGCTCAACTCTGATAACCATTGAAGTGTGGTCTGAAACACCTGGTGCTAAGAAAGTAGCGTCCGAGAAAGAGAAGGTTCTGGACCACTGATCATTAATCAAGACTCGATCAATCTTCCTCTGTTTACGATAAGTACCAGCAGAAGTTGACCAAGTGTATCTGTGGCCTACATATTTAAGATCATCGAGACCAGCTTGGTATAAGCAAGAAGCAAGCTCATCAAAAGCGGGGATCCAAGAGGTGAAGCTGCCGAGCCTATCAGAATGGTCACGAATGGCATTGAAATCCCCCGCAACTAGCTAGGGTTCATTAGCAAAATTCACACTCGACTGGACGAGGTCATTCCAGAGTAAGCGTCTAGCAACAAAAGTATGCTCCCCATAGACAATAGAGACATGGCAGGTCTTATTCAATCCCAGCATATGTAAACGGACGTGGATAGCCTGAGCAGAAGTAGATAGGATGTCCACATTTACATCTTGGGATTTCCAGCCAAACCAAATTCTCCCACGAGGGGAGGATGCATAATTAGAAATCCAGCCCCAACCCGGCACAAGGCCAGCAGAAATGGTATCAAAAGAGGACTGGGTGACCTTAGTCTCGATAATACCAACACAAGAAAGGTTGAAAGATCTCACCAAAGATCTGATCTCGGCCTGTTTGAGGGGGTCCATGAGACCCTTAATATTCCAAACTCCAAAAAACATATATACAGTGAATTTCACTCTTGTTTGTCGTGCTTTCTAAGTTAAATTTAGTTAAATCTGTGAATTAGGAAATTAAAAATATCATGATTATTGACTCGATACAACTCTAAATAAGGTTATAGTTTTTCTATTTTAGTGATCATTAAATGGAACTATTGTAATATTTATAAAAACCAAAAAGGTAAACGGTAACAAAAAATCACATATTTCTACATTGACTTAGGAAATTATTTAAATATAAAAATAAAAATTGGATAACACAACGCGACATCATTTGGGATTTCGCACATTCCATACTCTATGGATGCACATTCCGTATTCTACGGATGCCTGCAAAACATTGAAAAGGAATGGGACTTGGGCATTTGATTAAAAGCACTCAAGTAATATTGATAGACGATCCATAACCACTCCACCCGTCCACCCATTTATGAAGATACTGAAGGAGGGAGTTATCGAATTAAAAGCCCGTATCAGCCCCAATAACTATTCCATCGCCCACCCACCCATGTCAATAACTTTATCATCTGGAATCTCATTGTGGTTTCTTATGTTCGCTCAAGTCTAGTTTCTTTCAACGGACAACAATCTAACAAACCTTCCTTTCTGCCTTCTTTGTGTGTTGTCTTTTTGTCTTCCTTTTGAGGAGAAGGTCCCTAAAATTTTTCTTGACTTTTTGATATAAGTCTTTCCTTAACAACGAATTTCTTTCCTTAAATCTCTCCTATAAGAGCTAATAGGGGCAAACTTTTAAGTAAATACAATATTTCCATTGGCCATCAAGAAATAAGATATGATAAGATTTTCCAAAGTCAAAACAACAAAACCTCCGTGCAAATTTAAGACCATCAACCGTCATTCACCAATTTCCACATGCAATATTAAACATCTTTACCAACATCTATTGAACATTTTCACCAACCTCCACCCACCCTCATACCGTCAAGAGATTTGCTACATTGCTCTTCCCCTTCCTTATACTCATAGATGTTGGCTGTTGCAGCAGCTGCTTGGGGTCGGCCATTGTCCAACCCCACATCTAAGTCCGACTTCACCAAAGCTCGACCCGATTTCTTTTACTATGGACATTCACCCCATCTAAGTCCAATTTCATCGAAGCTTGACTCGATTTCTTTTACTACGGACATTCACCCCGGGGCTAGGTGCAACTTGCTCCTTTTGGATCTAGTTTGAGGAGGTAGTAGTACAGTTAAATAAAACCTCATCAAGGTTTGGATTTGGATTTTGGTGATATTGTTCATATGTTTTTCTTTTTATGGGTCAAAATGGTATATTGATGTTTGATGATGTAAATATTTGCCTATGAATTAAGCCTAAGTGGGTTTGAAGGTGTGATTTTTTTGTTTAATTGGGTTTGAAGGAGTGTTGGGCGGGGGTTAAGCTGGCATGGAAAGCGTAGAAGACAGAATCTCTCTGCCCAAAAACTTTCTATGAGAGAAAGAAGCAGATGGTGGTGGCAGTGATAGTGATGGTGGTGGTGACCCATAAAAAGGAAAAACAAATGACATCACCCAAACCCAAACCTCGAGGATCTATCATTTAACTATACTATTATCTCCTCAAACTAGATCCAAAAGGGGCAAGAAGCACCTAGCCCCGGGGGTGAATGCCCGTAGTAAAAGAAATCGAGTTTAGTTTCGATGAAGTTGGACTTAGATGGGGTGAATGTCCGTAGTAAAAGAAATCGGGTCGAGTTTCGGTGAAGTCGGACTTAGATGAGTGTTGGACAATGGCCGATCCCAAGCAGCTGTCGTAGCAGCTATGAGTATAAGGAAGAGAAAGAGCAGTATAGCAAATCTCGTAGCCATATTTGGGTTTTGTGAATAAAGAGAGAGGAATGTAGGGATGTGGGAGGTCGAGGCTGCTTAAATAGAGATGAAGCTAATGAGCTCAGTAACCGTGAAGGTTTGCATGGGGTGGGTGAAGGTTGGTGAAGATGTTTAATATTGCACGTGGAGGTTGGTGGATGACGGTTGATGGCCTTAAACTCGTACGGGGAGAAAATTTTAGGTGAGTGGAATACTCCACATAGACCATGCACAAAGCCATTCTGCGAACGACATGTGGACAGTCGGGCCCACCAATCAGAATTTCAAAAAATCTCCAATTTTCCTTTCTCTCTCCACGTTTGTCTCCGTTAACTTCCGTTACTATCTTTCACTCTTTACGATATTCTCTCTCCCTCCTCATGCTTGCACACCTGCGTACATTTTTTCTCTCTCTCTCTTATATTCTCTCTCCTCGATTCTTTCATTCTCTGAACAAGAAAACCAATGCTCATCTCTCTCTAGCGAAGGCCTTCTTTATCCCTCTCCTTAATTCAAATTTTGGATCTCTCCTTTGCTCTCAAATTTTGCTGCTCCGGCGCTCTACTCCATTGTTTCAACGACGAAGAGGCTGATGTAGTCGGCTGTCGAGAAGTCGGGGATCACAAATGTTAGGCCATGGCTGCTGGTGCTACTAGCGAATGGGGGTGACGACGGCGAAGACAAAGGTGGTGGCGAAGGAGTAAACAATATTGGTGTTGTCGAACATAGCACGCTTTGCTTTCATTTTTTTTTTTTTGGGTCGGATGTTAGCTTTTGGTTTTTTTTTTGGGTCGAAAATGTTAGCTTTTGTTGAGTTGTTGAGTTTTGTTTATGAGGTTTTGCTTCGATTCTGTTTCTGATTTGTAGCAGTGGGATCATCCATTAGTTTTTTTTTCCGTAATCTATATCTTGTACAATTTGAATAAGATTTTGTTTTTGCAAATATATTTCTGGCACATAATTGTTCTTTATTTCATGTTTTGTTGTATACTCTGAATTTTTATGGGCAAAATCTGAAAGGTAACAAGGGGAAACAAAATGTGCTATAAAATGGTCATCCCTTTCTCCAACATCAATAAGAGCTTATATTAATGTAATATAATTTCTCACTGTCATAATGTCGAAAACTCGACGAGAGGATTCACAACATCACCCAACTTACATATAAATCGTTGATGTGAGAACTAAAACATCATCTGAAGTAGGTCTTAAGGCCATATTTACACGTCTCGAAGATAAAAAAACATCATCAAACTATCTTGCCTCCACATAACAACATATTTCTCGGGGACACCATCAAAAACCATTCTCGCTTCTTTTACCCTCCCAAACTTCATCAGAAAATTTACCATCGAACTTGCGAGAAAGTTCACAAAGTGCAAGGGCCTCATCCTACAATTCTACCCGACATGCAAAGTAGTGAATAGAGACGCTTCTGGGTGCGGAATTTGATCAAACACTTTGTACGCATATTCAAGGGAACCCAAACCATGATAAACCCTGATAAGTTCCGAATGAAGCCGTTTCTTGGGATAGAGAGACAGCGGCAGAGGACGAATCGTAGCCACCAACGGGGCTCCGAGAGGCGATGGTATAGGCGGAGGAGGTGGCGTGGTCGGGATCGGACCGATAGGCTCCGAGAGGCGACAGCGGAGGCAATGCAGAGGCCGGATAGAGAAGGGAGAAAAAAGGTCTTCGCTGGAGAGAGATGAGGGTTGTTTTTCTTATTCATAGAAGGAAAGAATTGAGGAGAGAGAATATAAGAGAGAGAAAGAAATAAATGTGTGCAGTTATGTAGACGTGAAAAGGGATAGAGAATATCATAAAGAGTGAAATATAGTAACGGAGGTTAACGGAGATAGACGTGGAGAGAAAAGGGAAAATTAGAGATTTTTTGAAATTCTGATTGGTGGGCCCAACTATCCACATGTCGTCTACGGAATGGTTTTATGCATGGCCTACGTTGAGTATTTCATTTACCTAATCTTTCTCCCCGTGCGAGTTTAATGCCATCAACCGTCCTTTACCAACCTCCACGTGTAATATTGAACATCTTCACCAACCTTCACCTACCCCATGTGAATCTTCATAGTTGCTGAGCTCAATAGCTTCATCTCTATTTAAGCAGTATCGACCCCACATCCCTACATATCTACATACCTACATCGCTCTTTCTATATTCACAAAAATCAAATATAACTACAGTTAAGAGATTTGGTGCGCTGCTCTTCCTCTTCCTTATACTCGCAGTTGATGCGGCAACTGTTTAGGGTCGGCCATTGTCCAACCCCCATCTAAGTCCGACTTCATCGAAGTTCGACCCGACTTCTTTTACTACGGACATTCACCCCATCTAAGTCCGACTTCATCGAAGCTAGACCCGATTTCTTTTACTACGGCATTCACCTCCCGGGGCTAGGCGCAACTTGCGCCTTTTGAATCTGGTTTGAGAAGGTAGTAGTACAGTTAAATAATATCTCCTTAAGGTTTGGGTTTGTGTTTGGGTGATGTTGTTCATTTGTTTTTCTTTTTATGGGTCAAAATGGTGTGTTAATGTTTGATAATGTAAATATTTGCCTACGAATTAAGTGTAAGTGGGTTTGAAGGGGAGATTTTTTTGTTTAATTGGGTTTGAAGGAGTGTTGGGTGGGGTTTGAACTGGACATGGAAAACGTAGAAGACAGAGTCTCTTTGTTCAGAGGGTTGTTATGAGAGAAAGAAGAAGATGGTGGTGGCGGTGGTGGTGATGGTGATGGTGGTGGTAATGCATAAAAAGAAAAACGTATGACATCATCCAAACCCAAACTTAGAGGAGGTATCATTTAACTGTACTCCTACCTTTTTAAATCAGATTCAAAAGGCGCAAATTATGCCTAACCCAAGGGGGTTGAATGCCCGTAGTAAAAGAAATCGGGTCTAGTTTCGGTGAAATCGGATTTAGACGGAGGGTTGGACAATGGCCGACCCTAAGCAGCTGCCGTGGTAGCTGCGAGTATAAGGTAGAGAAAGAACAGTGCAACAAATTTCTTGACGGTAGCCATATTTGGGTTTTGTGAATATAGAGAGAGGGATGTAGGGATGTGGGAGGTCGAGACTGCTTAAATAGATATGAGGCTATTGAGCTCAGCAACTGTGAAGGTCGCATAGGGGTGGGTGGAGGTAGAGAGGTGATTGGTTTCCGGTCCGGTTCTTGAGTGGAATCGGGAACCGGACCGGTAAGACCGGTTCCTAATTTTTAGGATCGGGAATCGGATCGACGGATCATGGAACCGGGAACTGGACCGGACCATCTCGGTTCTAGATGGCCCAATGAAACCTTTTGCTATTTACCAGCAAAAGAATTGACAGTGTGAGAATGACATACTTAACAAGTAATACCCTTTGTCGTGGCCAACTTCCTGCAAAAAGAATACAGCATGTGAGAAAGGCTTGGCTTGGATTTTATTGACAACTCCTCTTACAATCTTTGCATAGACATTCGATGTGGGACTCTCGGCATTCGCAAGGAGACACAACAACAGAGACAAGCCAAGAGTCCCATATCGAAGGCATCTACATGAAAACTGGACATACAATAGAAAAAAGCCATACACATTACACACCAAGAGTCCTACATCGAATGGGAACTAAGAGACCATTAGAAGGGTTGTGCATAAAACCCAAGCCTTGCACAGTAATTGTAGATCAAATGGCTAAGTTTGAACTTTTTATAGAAATAAAATTAAAATTAAAATTTTGAATAGTATCGGTCCGGTCCAGTTGGCTTTCCCCTGGAACCGGACAGAAAATCACCGATTCCAAAAAGTTGGAATCGGGAACCAGACCGGCGCCCCTTATAACCGCCTAGAACTCGCCAGTCAGGTTCGATTCCGGACGGTCCGGGCGTTTTTCGGTTCTTTTGCACACCCGGTTGGTGAAGATGTTCAATAGAGATTGGTGAACACGTTCAATATTGCATGTGAAAGTTGGTGAAAGACGGTTAATGACCTTAAACTCGCACGAGGGAGAAAATATTAGGTGAGCGGAATACTCAACGTAGGCCATGCATAAAATCATTCCGCGGACAACACGTAGACAGTCGGCCCACCAGTCATAATTTCAAAAAATCTCCGATTATCCCTTCTCTCTCCACGTCTGTCTCTGTTAACCTCCGTTACTATCTTTCACCATTTACGATATTTTCTCTCCCTCCTTA